CACTACCACCCTGCAGCGCGTTTAGCTCTTGTCACATTCAGATCGGCTGCGATGCTCATCTGCGACAATTCGACTTCTTGTTACAGACAGACCGCTGGCCGTGGCAAAGCAACTCCACGTTCTCGGGGATCGCCGCTGATCTTCCGTGACCAAATATTCAGTGAAGTAATGCCCATCCATTCACGGTTAACCATTAAATGGACTTTCTATTAACCACCGTCTGAGGACGTGCCCTGTGGTGTGCGGCTCCGGTGGCAGAATAAATTTTAGTTAGCATAACACCTCCAATATGCGTAGAGCTTTAAAACATCTGCCCGCGAAATCCTCGGTATGGTCGGGGGGGGNGGGGGGGGGGGGTGCCTCGGGCTGCGGCTGGTGATCCCTTCCTCGTGAAATGCCACCATACAACCAAGCGCCTCAAATGGCTTCTCTTGAGCAAGCCCTACTCACTGCCATCACGTGGTGGAGGTACTTTACCACCAAAGTGATAGGACGAAAAGCCAATATCCGGGGTCCTAACCGAGTCGGTGAACTACTGACAGTTCACCTGGGGGAGTTGGCTAAAACCCTTGATTCCAAACCAACCATGAAGAGGCGCACGAAACACCCACCCACATCTTCCTGCTAGTAGTGGTCACAGACTCGACTGGATATCGAGGTGTATTGAGCACCTTGGAAGTTTAAACCCGTCTGAAGGGCATGTGATCCGGTGAACTGAACACCGGCCCCAACGGACTGCGGCTTTTACACACCGCTCCGATCATACTTTGGCTGGTCGAAAGCTCCGGTTGTAAACTCCACAAGAAAATTCAAATGTTTTGACCTGGACAACCTGGCAGCAGATGCCCCAGAGCAAATTATGGAAGTATGTTTTTATAAAGATTATTCTAGCGTGATTTGCTGGAAACACAGTCTGAACTCAAACGTGTGTGAAAAATATGTACCAATAACATCAAACATCTATGGTTTACCATGCACATCGTTTGCTAAGATCTTTGACCCGTACTGGAGTTCGGAATTGATCGAAATGTTCTACTATGCGTCAATAGTGCAAATACAAATCATTTAGACAAATCCGGCTCACATTTAGAAAATGAACGATTGGACTGTAACCCATTTGTAGGCAAGGAAACCTTTAAGGTACAAAAGGTATATTGAAATTGTTATTGTACAACAATCAGAAAAAAACAGGAACGTAGCAAATGAACAAAGAGTAAACTTAATGATTATAAGCGAATTGCAAAAGAAAAGATGCCGAAAGCAGTTCACGGGCACGGGCGTCATCGCGATCAACCTCTACCAACCAGTATCATCCAAAGAAGATCCGTGAATGATTGTAACCATTGTAACTTCCGCCTGCTTGTTCGCTTTTCGTACCACCAAGTACTACGTCACGCTCGACCGCGCAGTGTTTTGCTGTTCTTCGTGGGACAATAGAATAAACTCACTGCGGTTTCCTGACCAGTTGTGAGACAGAGTCGTTCAGTTTGTCCTCCAGTGTTGTTATTGTCTCCGTGAAACGACGATGTGCCAAGGACTCAGCAGCAATAGTCTCTTGAATCTGATCGGAAACTGGAGCGCCGTGATAATGTTCCTGAAGCAAATTTTGGAGCTTCTGAAATAAAGAGATCAACACTGATTATGGTTACGGTCAAATAATCAACGCACACGTCCCATATATAATTGTCATCATTATTATTGCAGTCCTGGGAGAAATATTGGATTGTTCTTAAAGGAACTGCGATTGTTAAAGTGTGAAATAAAAACCCACAAGAAATTTAACACCATTATCAGTTCGAAGGGTTGGGCAAAGATCGAAACACATGGCGGCGGAAGGAAAGCCAAGAAGACACGATGGACGTTGCACTACTTGGCAACCAGGCTATATTAGCTTGCGTTGAGGGACCAAAGATACGTGGTCCAGCATGATCGTGGAGGAATACCAATCACCTATGATACTTTCAAACTTGGCTCTTTCTGCTTTATTCTTTAATTGGTTCACCCAATTTTAATAGACATCTGACTTGATCGATGGGATCATGAAAGAAAATTAGAAAAACGTCCCAGTAAATGCATCAAACTAATTTCATGGTGTTCTCTCGATGAATGGACGTTGATGAGGCAGGTTTATCACGTTCAGAACATGATCGTTTTCAAATGATATTGTCGCAAACAATCCGTTCACATCATAAGTTATCGTTCGTTGCAAAATCGGATAGCTTTCGCTGCATACGAAATGCAAATCGCGAATGCTAGTACGTTATGACAAATGAATCACTTTCAATTTATGCAGAACCTATTTACGAGGGCTTCTTGTTAAGCTAAGTTTTAAGTAGGCCTCGCAACGGTTTTGATTGTGGCTCCAAATTTCTCAGTTATCGCTCAACCACGTTTGTGCAAATCAGATTCAAATTCTTCAACTGATCGCCACTAAAGTCGACTAGTCGATCTGAACCTCCATCCCCCTGGAGTCAAAAGTCAGAAGAACGAACTTACACAGACCACTTCTCACACACGTTTTTTTTAAATAGATTACCGTCTGTCTGCAAGTGCATCAAGCTATAGATGTCCTCTGTCTTTGGGACCCCAAACTGGGAGTCTAGAGCGCCCTACCACTGCCAGTTTTGAGGTTAGCGCCTTCATTGTTCGAGCCCAGGTTATTCGCTGTCCACTGTGCCGCCGCTTCCAGTTAGTGTCTGCTTGCGCAAACATAACACGATGGAGCAATCGTTGAGCCGGCATCCGCAACACATGTCCTAACCATCGAAGTCTCTGGAGCGAGATGACGGCACTCAGAGGACGACTGAGATTGTCTGCGGTGAAGATTCTTCGGCCAACCTCGTCGTTAGTGATTCGCTGTTGCCAACGTATTCTGGCGATGCAACGAAGGCAACGGTGGTCAAAAACAATCTCCGTAAGTCTCTTGCGTGGAGGGGCCAACTCTCACAGCCGTAGAGTAGGACAGAGCATACTGTGGCATTGTAAACGCGGTCTTTCAAGGAAAGACTGAGATCGCGTCGGCCCCACAAGTGATGTAGGTTAGCGAAAGCCACTCGAGCCTTGCGGATACGCGCTGATATTTCTTCTGTCAGTCCTCTTGAGCTGAAGCAACTCCCGAGATAAGTAAGGTGATCGACAATTTCCAACTGGTCGTTCATGAGCGTGAGGACAGGTGTAGCCTCTTGCCAGTCTTGTAGTAAAACCTTCCATTTCGATGGAGAAAATATCACACCAAACTGCGTGACGGACAATGCTAACTTACACAGGACGTTTTGAGCGTCCTGGGAGGAGTCGCAGAGTAAAACAATGTCGTCAGCACATTCCAAGTCACGGAGTCGATCACCTGGGGGGAGCACCAACCCGAAAGCTCTACAGTTTTCTATAGCGCTGCTTAGGATTTCGTCTATTGCGAAATTAAAGAGGAAGGGCGAAGCCGGGCATCCTTGTCGAACTCCGCTTGTGATGGTAAACGAAGGGGAGATGCGATCATAGACCTTGACAAGGCCTGATGTGTTTGAGTAGACGGCTTTTAGAAGGTTTACATAATTCTCGGGCCCACCGCAGCACGTCCAAAAACACAGTGATGGTCGGTCTACTGAACGTCTGACGTTGCTCGAGGATCTGGCGTAGCGTAAATATGTGATCAACGCAGCTCCGGTCGAAGCGGAATCCAGCTTGTTCTTCGCGAATATGACAATCTCTTGTCCAGCTGAGCCTGCGAAGGATCAACGATGTTAACAGCTTGGTGTGCATACAGTTTGTCATCTTCTCTCCCTATGCTGGTAATCATATTTTATGTTATGTATTAACATAATTACAAATAAATGAAAACGATCTGGTTCACTACAATGTTGCTTTCAATGTATTCAGTGGACCAATCAAACGATTTATTTGTGCCAACCACACTTAGATAATGAACAAGTTGATACATTTATGCATTTTTAGTGATTACTGTCGAGCTTATAACACATATCAAGTTGCCATGAATATGTAAGATCGCGGTGGAGTAGATCGGTTCTTAGAGATAGTCAACGTAAACCCCGAAAATAAATTGAGTACATTTAGGTTAGTCGAAGCTTACCCTTGTGGCCTCCTTCAACCGATTGCTTTCCTTGTCAAACAAACATGTTAGCGAGGAGTAAGTGTCAATATCCTCTTCGAAAGCTTGCAAATTCCCCTTGGACTGGTTTCGGAACTTTCGAACCGCAGCATTGTTCCGTGACCGTTTGTCTGCATATTCGAATGTGGTTTTGACTGGAGTTGCGGCCCGTTTATAGGATCGTCTCTTCGAGTTCCGGGAACCTTTATTAGATGCACTAGAAGATGAGCACTCAGACGCTATTGAGTCCGGAAACTCCGAGAAATCTGACTCTTTATCGCCTGAAAATGATCGTACGGTGATGTAGGTAAGAAGTCAACAGATGGGTTCACTACCCCTTGAGATAGTTTCTAAATCAAACTTTCGAAATCAGATCATGGATGCATGGTTATAAATCTCAAAGTAAATCAGCGATTATAGGTGACAGAAAACGTACAGTACCGTATAGTAAGATAAGAAGAGATGATCTCAATTTAAGACAGTTCAAAAGTAGTTAAGTAGGGTAAACACAGTATCGGAGTCAGAAAGCCAGTCTGCGACACATAGCGCAAGTCTGATAAGATACTCGAACAAGCAATGCGGTTAGGCGAACAGTTACATAAGAATCCTTCTTAATATAGCATACACGTGTTTTAACTCACCATAAGAGTTTTAGGCAGTCACCTTCATGCACTAACACGTGCGTGTGATGTTGGCTGTAGCAATCAGTGGATGGGAAAAGTTTGAGTGGTCAAACTAAGTGTTGCAATTTTAATAGACTTTGGATCTTCATGCCAAGGTATCACTGTTTACCGATAACTTAGATTCGTATCTTTCCATTGTAGCCGATGTACCTACAATATTAAAAGCTGAAAGCCTCGTTTCCGAGTCCCCATCTTCTCACTCGTTCATCGCTCGATGTTTCGAGCTCAATACAAATTATTCTAACAACGATTGATGGCTTATCTCATCCACCCCCATTCTTCATCCGTTTCCGAACAGTGGATTCATTGGCATGAAACATCCCGTAACTTCTGCAGTCTGTCTACCGTCGGTCCACCTAACATTGATAAGAAAAAGTTGCCCGGTGAATTTTATATCTCCGTCCGCTTACCAACACAATCGATCTTCCCCAATTATGATGACGCTATCAGAGCGAAGTGTTTGCGCGACAACTACTCGCAATAGTAAAAAAGGAACAAGGAAAATCGATTGATAAATTTAAGCAAAAACTCAGTTCCCACAAAGAAACTAACGGAAAGGTGATTCAATATTCTGCGTCCAGTTCACTTGATCTGCAAAGCGCCTATCGCCAAATTTCGGGTTAGGAACGGAGTTGTGTTGCGTCCGAATCCCGATTGATCACAATGTACACATAAGATATCACACGACGACACACAAGGAACACACGTACCTCAACGGCCACACTAATCGTCTAGTCCCACGAGTACGATCACAGCACAGATTTGGACGCCACGAGCACTAGCAGCCTTCTCCCAGCTACGTAAGCAAGAACACAGATAGTGCACAGCGAACGTGCACTTG